CCCCCCCCCCCCCCCGAAGTCATTCACTTGTGAATGATGTTGTTGGAGATAGTGGGGAAAGTGCATAGATAGAAATGAAAGAGGATACTAGTATGATATATGAGGTACAGAAGTAAAAATGGAAATAAAAAGGTTAAATACCCTTTTTGGTCCCTCTACTATAAGAAAAAGCCCCTTTTTAGTCATTGTACCGAAAAAATCCCCTTTTTGATCCTTACTGTTCACAAATCCGGCCCCTTTTTAATCCCTCCGTTAAATTTTGACTTATGTGGCACGTTAACTTAACTAGAACAGCTGACGTGGTATACCAACGCGTAAAATATGTTTATGTGGACTCCACGTCACCCCACTTCCTCCAACTTTTTTTTTTTGTCCTTTTTTCCTTTTACCTTCAAGCGAACCCAGCTTGCGGGTTTGTGATGAACCCAAGAGCCTGGGTTCATCGCGAACCCAGGATGAACCTAGCTTGCGTGACTGGGTTTGCAACTGGGTTCGCAATGAACCCAGCTTGTGTGATTGGGTTGGCAATGAACCTAGCTCGCGCCTGGGTTCGCGACATACCCAGACGCAAGCTGGGTTCTCAATCTCTGGGTATGTCGCGAACCCAGGAGCTAGCTGGGTTCTCAATCCCTGCCAAAAATAAGAAAGCATGTTCTTCTCAAACAAACAGCTCTAGAAACATCCAACAACAGAAAACCCAAGAGCAGCAAAAATTTCAGGAAATTGAAAATTGAGGATTTGAAATTCCAGCACTCAATGTCAATGGCCTAAACTAGAAAATCAAACCGATCACCTCCAGGCGACTGGGTTCATTGCGAACCAACAAAACCTATTCAACTTCCTTCTTGGAAGAACCTGTTAAAAACAGTTAATTAACCCAAGTCTTGGTGCTCAATTGATCACAGAATCATTTAACCAAATCAATCCAATCTTACCAACTAACATTTTTTCGCGCTTGAAGTGCCGTCGCGAATCCACGCTCCTGGGTTCGTTGCGAACCCACGAGCTGGGTTCATCGCGACGAACGAACCCACGAGCTCGTGGGTTCATCGCGGCGAACCCAGGAGGGGTTCATCGCGATGAACCCACCCACGAGCTCGTGGGTTCATCGCGGCAAACCCACCCACGAGCTCGTGGGTTCATCGTGGCGAACCCAGGAGGGGTTCATCACGACGAACCCAGACTCCTAGGTTCGCCTAAAGGTAAGAAACAAAAAGAAAAAAAAAAAGAAAAAGGCTGAAGGAAGGAGAGGATGGGGGAAGAAAATGAGGGTAAATTGGTAATTAAAGATAAAAATTTGGCCATGTCATCAAGTTTTGCCAAATGGAGTTCACACGTAATTTAAGTAAAGAAAAAATTTTTTTTTCCATTAATTACCATGCCACGTAAGTCAAAATTTAACGGAGGGACAAAAAAAGGGCTGGATTTGTGAATAGTAAGGATCAAAAAGGGGATTTTTGAATAGTAAGGATCAAAAAGGGGATTTTTTCGGTACAGGGACTAAAAAAGGGGCTTTTTCCTATAGTAGAGGGACCAAAAAGGGTATTTAACCAAATAAAAACTAAAAATCTATACCGCAAAGGTATGCATAGCCATAGTCATAGCTAACAGTGAAATACGTGATAGGGGGTCATGTTGGCCATGCCCAAAAATAAAATAAAATAAAAGGTAATCGGATTGCTCGTGGCCGAGGCGTGGTAAAAGAATGATCGGAGTCAATGTAGGAAAGTAGTAACATATAGTAAAAATGAATGATCGGAGTCATCGTGACCGGAGTCATAGCAAAATATGTGAGACGGGGTCACTGTGGCAGTACCCGAAGTGAAACGTGTGACACTAGGTCGTTGAGGCCGGGGCCGAAGTGAAACATGTGACACTGGGTCACTGGAGCCGAAGCAAAAACATGTGACACTGGGTCACTGCGGCCGGAGTCGAAGTAAAACATGTGACACTGGGTCATTGAGGCCGGAGCCGAAGTGAAACATGTGACACTGGATCACTGAAGCCGGAGCCGAAGCAAAAACATGTGACACTGGGTCATTGTGGCCGGAGCCGAAGTGAAACATGTGACACTAGGTCACTGAGGCCGGAGTTGAAGCAAAAACATGTGACACTGGGTCATTGTGGCCAGAGCCGAAGTAAAACATGTGACACTGGGTTACTGTGGCTGAAGTCGAAGTAAATGATGTGACACTGGGTCACTGAGGCCGGAGTCGAAGTAAAATACTTGTGCAAAATTTAAATTGGACAAAAGTGAGCAAGAGTGTTGAAATGGGCTTAAGCGAGCCCATCTGAGAAGTCTGACAAAGAGGTGGTGCGCGACGCGACAGTTGTTCTCTAAATGACGTGTGTAATAAATGCCGTTGTAAAAAGATAAATGTAATAGCCCAACGGGCAGATGTAAAAAACGAACCGTCAAGTTCGAAACGGTACCGTTTGGGGTTAACCGTCGAATTCAAAACGGTGTCTTTGCAGCCATTAGATGGGTTAATCACAGCCGTTGATACGTATTCTGCCTTTGGTATAAAAGGCTAGACTTCTGTAAAGAGGGATTTTTTACGTTCGCGATTTTGCTTCAAAATTCCTACTGAATTGCTACTAAATTTCTGCGGTTTCGTGCGGTTTGCGCTTCAATCAAGACTTCAACAACAGTTTCCAAGACCAAAATTAGGTAAAGTTTATGAATTTTTTACTTTGATTTTGTCAAAGTGGTGCTCTCCTTTCTCCCTTTTTGTGGTTGATTTTGGGTTTTTTGGAGGAAATTAGGGTTGGGAGTGAGAATGTGTTAAGTGTGTTGGAATTGTTAAGGGTCCTGACATCGTTCCTCCTCCCCCTTTATGCAAAAATTGAGATGTCTTCAGAAGAGGCCATGAGTGTAGTGGGGAGCGAAGTGATGCCCCTGGATTACGATAGTATGGATTCGGAGAGCAGTCCGTCTCCAACTAGTTCGGAGAGGACGGTGGAGGAGAAGAGGGATCATAGGGTGGTAGAAGAGGAAGAAGATGATATTCCCTCCAACATTTTGGAGGCTGGGAATAGGGTAGATGGGTGTTATGACCCGGATTTAGATATAGTATCTGAGGTGAGGGGATATGTGAGCGATT